GGCCATGAGAGAAGAGAAGCGAGACCCTCGTGATCCTTGAGCTTTATACTGAGGATGACGTGGATGGGATGGAATACCTCGTTGGTCAGTTTTTGGTCCTCTGTCCTGTCTGCACTCTTCCGCAGGTGCGACCCTTTTACGACTTTTTACTCGCTTAACAAAAGGGGGGCCAGCAGTGGTCTTGGTTCTCATGGGGATAAGTATAAACATGGGCCATTCTGCATACCAATCCTACTGATACTTCAGTAGCAACTATAAACATCAAGCGTTATCAGGCCTGAAACGCAGACAGTGTCTGAAAAAACATGTAGCTGTACTTTCAGAAAGTGCAGTTACTTAGAAGGGATTTGATTGAAAGAAAAACTCCTGAAAAGAGAAAATAGCCCTGTTTTAGCCAAACCAGGACACCCAAACATTGTAGCAGACATTCTGTGTACCAGCTTGAGTTTTAAACTCACTTTTCTTGAGCACAAATGACAAAACTTACAAATTATTCTGGACAGGATGTCATAGGCTTTTGTACATAGGCCTGTAGAAATAGGAAAGTATCTCATTTTTTACATTCCAAGGTTGCGTGTACTTTTTTCTCCATCACAGCTGCAGTACACTGGTAGGTTATAGTAATTCTTGGATGCTGTATTACACTTCAGATACTTCTCATCTTTCCAGCTTGGGAGCCACTCTGCTTTATAGCTTGTTAAAAGGCATGATCTTACATTTCATACCCAGACTTCATTTCATTTCTTTAAGACTCCCTTATCAGTATGTCTGGCTTTGTCCTTTACAGAGAAGTCTGCTCATCAAAGAACCTGATTTTGTTTCTGGTCAATGGTACCCCACTTCTCCTTTGTATTCATGATGTCTGTTTACTTTGTGTTTGTGAATTGTGCCAACGATATACCTCCTCTTGTGCTGAGGTCACTTACAAAAACATTAAGGCCTGTTCCACACGTGATCTGAGAGAGGACTTTGGCTAGTCACCTCTTTATAATTTTTCCTTTCAGAACTGCTTTTTGTTATCTCCTCTCTGTCTTGCTTCTTAGAACTGGAGAGGCAGTCAGGTAGTTCAGCATAGCATGCAAGGAGGTACTGGATAAAGCATATATGCTGCTGTAAGGTGGTGTCCATTGCAAAGAGGTGAGGAGTGCTATACTGATCCCTTCTGGGGTCTGTCAGCCATTACGGCTTTCTTCAAGAAGGGCTATAAATTTCTGTCTTCTCTTGCTCCAGGGATGCAGCACACAGAGTCCACCCACTTGCAGGACAAGGTGTAAACCTGGGCTTTGGTGATATTGCGTGTTTAGCTCATCACCTCAGTGCAGCAGCCTTCAATGGGAGCGATCTGGGTAAGGATCCAAGGCAATGAAGTCGCAGTAAGATGATTAGTCTTACAGGCCTTTGCTGCTAACATCAGGACAAGCAGGTTAACTCTGCTGCTATCTTGTGTTTGAGAGGCACAAGCACCTTTGAAGCAAACCAGTTCTGATGTCCATTGGCTGTGGCGCAGTTAAAGATTCTTGGATGCACTTTCCATCCCACAAATCTCAAAGCTGCTTTAAAAAAAAATTCTGCAGGATGGTAGTTAAAGAGTTGGCAAGATGAAGAGCACCAGCTGATGGAAGGAGGCCTTTATTAAGATGGACCATTTCTGTGTTCTCTTTCTGTGTTTTCAGTTGTCATTGGAGACTGCTATGTAGATAAGACACACAATTGTTTGTGGCACGTCAATTTTAATAGCAGCATTCAATTATCTCTTCCAGGCTCCTTGAAACATCTCTTAAAGTTTGAGACAGAACGCCAGAGGCACAATGTCTCCTTGATAGCTGCTACTGATGTGCTAAAGAGGCTTTACTCCACGAGGCTGACTCCCTTGGTGTTGCTGAGGACCTGGGGATTGCAAGCAACAAATGCCCTGCCTCCTGTCAAAGTAAGAATCTCACTTTAGTGACGGCTAGGAAGAGTCCAGAACTATTCATCAAAAATACACAAGCTGTGAAGATTTTTTTTTTCTTTTAAATGAAAGATTTTTGGTTGGAAAAAGCTAGTTGTTCCGACTGAGGTTTTGTGCCCTGAATGAGCCTGAGGAGTTACGAAATAACTGATGGCTCAGTAGTAACTGTTTTCTCCTGCAGCACAGAGGAAGAAAAGGGCTCTAAGTGCCTATGCTCTGTATCAATAGTTAGGGGTTAGAAGTTATTAGAAGTCTTTGGCTTTATTTCATAATGGAATGAAAATGTGGAACCTTGAACTGCATTGCAGAAATGCACTATGAAAAACCAGCCCTATGAAGACACATCTTCACTAAGACATCAGGTGACTTGACAGATGTGGTGTGCAGCTCAAACGCGTTATCCGTTTCTGTGCTCTTTTGCTTTGTGAAACTGTTCCCTCATGGCAGAAGTGCAGGTCTCTATAATGGAAATTACCTGAGGAAGGCACCAGTGAGAAGGTTCAGTCTTAAACACAGACCTTCTGTTTGCAGCCTATCTGCCTAAATTCCGCACCGTCTTGACCTAGTTGCTGGATTTTCATGAGGTTCCTTAAGCTACCTGCTCTCAAAGATCCCAAGCACTCTCAAATTAGATTCCTCATTTCTGGATTTGAATGTTTTATTCCACAAATCAAGTCACCTTCCTATTAAACACAGGGGGCCTGTTTCCTTTGTGTTATGGTCACAGTTAAGACACTACCTGAGTTGAAGAGCAGTACATTCCTAAGGCGTAGTAGCTGCCACTGGCAAGGTGTCTTTATTAGTTGCACTAAAAAGAGGACTATGCTGCTGTTTCAGTGCTCAGAATTTTTTTTTTCTGTTTAAAGCAAAAAAACAAATGAGGACCTCTTTCCTGAGCACAGAACCTGTTGGTAACACCTCTGTTTTGTGCCACTTGGGAAGGAAAGGAATGCTGCAACTTCTTTAATTTTCTAGCATACAGGGATAGGTGCTCTGCACCTGGCTAGAAAGGCTTACAAAGAACTGTTGTCCATATATGTAAAAGTGAAAGAGACTATAGCTGCTTTCTAGAATGTATGCTTATGACTAGTTTACAAATTACTTATCTATTTCTTTTTTTCCCCCTCCTCTTTTTTAGGAGCAAATCGTGGCTTTTGCCAGCAAGTGATCTGTTGTCGGTTTGGAACAGCAGCTTGCCAGTGAATGCATTGCCTTTATGTGACTGACGTTTAACAATAAAACCGAGGGATTGAGCTGTGTATTACGTCATCCACTGGTTTATGCAAAAGTTCTGTCTCATCTGCTCTCCTCAAGAGGATTTAGGGTCTCTTCCTGTAGTACCATTATGTCTTCAGCCACAGAGCTATCTGTACAATGTGCTTTTAATTTGGGCCTTTTGAAGGGAAGACTGAGGTGGAAACAGCTGTCTCTCTTTTGGCAAATGCAGTGCTGAATTTTGCCAGCTACAACTTTTGCTGCTTAATTACTTTCAGTTTTCTCTGATGTGGTTTCTAGGGCTGTAATGTTACTCCTGGGTTCTTAGCACTTCCTGGACTCAGAAAGGAGGGGTAGTTTTCAGCTGAGGAAGACAACTCATGGTGGCTCTAATCTGTCTTTCACCCTTTTCCCTGCCCTTCTCTTGGTGCTTTATTGAATAACGGTGTTTCCTAAGACTGGCCAGTTCCACAAGGACTCCACAAAAAGAGATGCAAGACAACAATAGCTAAGAAATAAAACAGCAACATCTTGAATATTGTTAAAAATGGTTTAATTACTAAAATAGACATTCAACATAGTCTGTCTTAGGTTCCAAGCACCGGCCTCCTGCATTAGACATTTAACACTCACAAAATTAAATGAGCAGTGCCCATGGTCAAGACTTACATGTATGGTTGACTGGTATTGGGAATTAACATCAGGAAGAATGGAACGTAAGTTTTGAACTGAAAGCCATTACTTGTCCTCCTTCAGTCGCTCATATTGGCAGTTCCTGTTAGTGACTGGCTAAAAGACATTACGAAGGAGGAGATAAAAATTGGCCCTGCAAGTAGAACTCTTCTCTTAAAAGGCTGCTTAGTCTTTAGTTAAGCTAATAAATAATCTCATTGCACTAGGGCAAGTGTGAGGACATGACTGGCTTCTTTAGATCCCCCACCCACCTTGAGTAGTTCAGATGTAAACAGCAGGGGCTCAATTCTGCAATTTCCTGCAAAAGAAACCTTTTAGCAGACTTTTTGTTTCTCTCATGACTGCAGGATCAGGCCCCTGATAGAGAGCAGCAGTTTTGCTTCAATTAATGAATTGTGCCACTGACAAAGGAAGGCCCTGAGCACTCAGATTTAATGCAGCTTTGGTACTAGGAAGCAGATCCTCCCACCTAGCATTTGCAGTACCAGAGTCTGAGGAAAAGAACACAGAAAAGAAACTTCCTGTGCGTGGTACCTGGCTTCTTCTAGACCATCCTCCCTTCAGACAAAACCAAACCCTTAAGTACTCCTCAGGGCTAGTGCCAATTCAGTTGGCAGATACGCTGCTGCTGCTTCTTCCTTCCATGTAACATCCCACCTTCCCTTCCCATTTCCAATACAGCCTCACTGCTTATGGCTCCTAGCCCCAAGGTCTAGTAAGAGTCTCTCATAGCACTGGCGCAGAGCGAAAGACGACTTTTGGATTATGAAATTAGCTAGTTCTCAGGAGTAACACAGCCTAGCTAGTAACCACTGCATCCTACGTTGTGTTCTCTGAGAATACAAAAGTGAATACAGTTGTTCACTAAACACAAAATAAATGTGTTTGCAGTCACCTTGTTGTGCAGACTACACCACATGGTAAGTTTTGCCAAACACTAGGAAGAGGAATAAGAAATGTTTGTGGTTGAGAATAGGCCACAACTATGTTCTTCATGTTCAAACAGAAGCTCCTAGTGAGGGAAGAATGGAATTTTGGTGTGACACTGAGGAATTTCCCAATGTGGATCTCAAAACAGATTCTGGTAAGGAGGAGTACAGGTAGGATGAGCATTTCATATTTCAGAGAAACAGCCTGAATTTATGGCAAGGTGTCAGTGATGGGACAAATATGGGTAGCTTCATCCCCAACCCTTGGACTCCTGTTGCTGACTGAACTTGTTCAGTGAAAAGCATGCCTTGCACCCTAGTGCCATAAAACTTGAGATATGAGAAGGGGTAGCTCAATTGGCCACAGTCAAACTTGTGCTGCTAACTAGAGGAAGTGGACTAATGTTCACAGTAAGGCAAACTTCTAAGTCTCCAAACTGCTTGGCAAGATTAGTGAGGGCATGAGTGCGCTACTTCCTCCCCTTGCTGGGAATTGCCAAGTATTTTCAAATCCAGCTGGCAGAGGAAGGTAGTGTGGGGGCAGTCTTTGGTTTTGCAGAAGTGGGAAAGGTGTGTTATAGCAAATAGGTAACTGCAAATGCCTGACAGGAAAGTGTTCATCACAAGAGATCAGTGGGTAATAGGTTCCCTTAGTCACATGAGTAATACCTCTCTGTTCTCTTCTCCCCAGTAACTAGCGATAGGACAAGAGGAAACGGTCTCAAGTTGCGCCAGGGGAGGTTCAGGTTGGGTATTAGGAAGAACTTCTTCACTGTAAGAGTCATTAGGCATTGGAACAGGCTGCCCAGGGAGGTGGTGGAGTCACCATCCCTGGAGGTGTTCAAAAATGTTTAGATGTGGCTCTTCAAGACATGGTTTAGTGGTCATGGTGGTGTTGGGTAGAAGGTTGGACTTGATGACCTTTGATGTCTCTTCCACCCATAACGATTCTATGATTCTTACGACTGGGGTAAATTGATCTTTACTTTACACATTCCATGAGGACTAGAAGGTAGTAATTTTTCACGAGATAGCTGTCAACTATTTCATGGAGTGGAAAAAGTTGTCTCTACAGCTGTTTCTACTTAGGACAATGCAAGGTCTGCACTTGGAGCCTGAAGGTATTCGAGCAATTTTGATGTCCTCTACAGCCAATTAAACAAGAAAACCAGGATCCTACAGCCCAGGTTTCTAGCCTATCTGGTGAGATGCTTTATTTAAAATACTGATCTTTCAGTGCTTCTATGTGTTTGGTGTGAAAGAGATGGCAAGGTTCACTTTAAATTGTTACTCAAATAGCTTCATGCTACCCTGACAGAAGTCTTGGGCTTCCTAAACAGCTGCAACACCTTCATTGGATGCACTGTTCTTAAAGACCTGCTGTATACATCAAAAATAATTCCAGTACAATGCAGTGCTGCATGCACCATTTTATGGGTCTAACTCCACTACATTAAAGAGAAATTAAGTTTAAAACAATTTAAAATGGACAAGGGATAAGGAAACAAGGGACAAGAAAGCAAAGCTACTTCTGCTGTTGTTCTCCCTCCATTTCTGATGCTAATTCCACTCTATTTTTGTCTATTAAACAACTGAAAAAACAACTTGTTTCACCACAGCTCTGCCTTCAGAGGAGGTTCCTAAGGAGGAACTGATAAGCCCAAACTTTCAGATGGGAAAGCACACCTTAGGCTCACTCTGACAAAATGGGCTGCGATGTTCTAACAGCTCGCTGGCCCAGCAGGTCTCTCCGGGCTGTGCAATGCCTATTTCCCTTGTGCTAGCACTAGACTTGACTCTCTGGTGAGCTGATTTAACTCAAGTTTGGTGTTGTGAATTGGTTCACCAATGAACCCGAGGAGCACCAGCATCAGAGGAAAGGTGGCCTTGCTGAGAGCAGAGAAACAGAACTGCCTCTCATGGCAAAGAGAGCTGTCAGATCAGCCGTTTCATCTGACTGCACCCTTAATTTCCTTGTGGGTGTAATGTGACAAGCATTTCTTTTGGCAGTGGAGTTTAAATAGCTGGCACTGCTGCCAAGTTGTGCCAGCACAACTATGTGTTATGACTACACGCTAAATGAATGAAGTTATCAGGTCTGGTAGCCAGATGTACGGTATAGCTACACAGACTTGTAAAGGGCAGCAAAAAGGAACACAGGCCACATTCTGCTTAGGAAATGACTGCTGCCTAAAGAAACAACCTATGTTTTAGCCAACGCCTTTCCCAAAACCATGCCCAAAGTGTGCTTATAGCAGGCCCCTTCTTGAAAGACTGGAGTCATTTTGCAATGTATTAGCTAAGCTAACAGCTGGGCACTTGAACACTGAGGCTGGCAGCATCCAGAGTTGTTCATTTTTCTCTGAATGACTGTGGATGCCATCTTTAATTTCTGTATTTAACATCTCACAAGCAAACTTAAGTTATGTACGTTTGAAATAAAAGGGGGAGGGGAAGTCACGTGTCTGTAGTCTTCCACCACATGCCAGGTACTCTGTGCTCCTAGCAATGGGATGTTATAGAGACGTGCTGGTGAAAGCTGGCTTTGAGACCCCTGTGGATACTCTGCTGGAGTTTAGGCCTTTTGAATTTCAGGAGGCAGCTTCTCGATCATTTATGGCAATCGCAATTATAAATCATACTGCAGCAACTCTCATTATGCACGATGCCAATCCAGGGTGAAGCTCTGTTCTGTAGTTTTGATCGACGTTCTGCTCTGTGACCAACTGCAGCTGAACAACATAACTGGAGATTTCAGTTTGCTTTCTCAGCCTTTCAGAAATGCTGAAGTCCACAGGAATGTCACAGCTCAATAGGTTATCCCCAGAGACTGCAGTAGGTGAAAGGTAGCACCCAAAGTCCAGCTTGTCTCTATGTTGTTCACTTTCTTTGTTAACTACAAAGGAAGAAAAAGAAGTTGTACCCAACAGTTCTCTAGATTCATATGTTGTACAGATGACAGCATCTATTGTAACAACCCTGGAAAGACTCAATAGTTAATTAGCCAGAAAAATGAACTAATGCATGTTGATTGGTACAGAAACTGGGAAGCTGGCTTTGGGATTTAACTGTTTCTCCCACCTGTAAGAGTGTGTTGTCCCTAAATCCAAAGCCTTCCTTTAGTAAAGCTGTGATGTAAGTGAGATCCATGCAGAGGAACGGACTGGCTGAGTTGTACCTCTCCATGTTATCACAGACTAGAGAAGGAAGAAAAAAAGAAAAAGAGATCTCAGCAAAATACGAGCTTTTATCCACACTGTACATTTGAACGGACCTCAAGCCAAAGCCTACTAAAACAAGCCACCTACTTCTATTAACGGGTACATATGACACATGGTACATGCTACACAGCTGTTCTATAATGTTGGGGAATAAACCATACAGTACTTCCAGTTTCTCTTAACTCCATTACAAGTACGTTTTTTATTACAGCAATATAATCCACACAGCTCTTTTGAAGTCTGAAACTTTGCTCAGTTGACAACTGACAGGGAGTTGCTAGATTACTTATTCTTTCAAGATCAGAGCATCATTTGTTTTTGTTCTCCAGTCCCCAAGGATGGCTCCAGTAATGGACTCCACCTTCTAGCATGGCAGCTGCTTTTATTTTTTTCCAACCACACATGTTCAAGGACATGGAAGAGGCTATTGCCCAACCAACCACTCCCTTGCTGCAGCTAAGTCAAGATGCCACAGTAAGGGTGACAGTGACTGGGAAATGGATTTACACGAAACATCGTCTTCTAGACCTACTGTTACTGCCCTGCTCTACAAGCATCAAAAGTGGAGTTCAGTTCCTTTTAGAAACTAATAAGCAGCATCCTCCTACTATTGAAATGAGAAAGAGGAGCATTAATTTAGGATCACAGAATTGATCTCCTGATGCTCTAAACTGAAATAAATGGTTTGATGGTGTTAGATAGCATCTTAGCTGCCTCTCTGGAAATAAGCTCTCTCAGTATCCAGGGGAAAAAAACCCAACAAAACCAACCCACACACAAACTTTAGAGTCTAATCCCCCTATTCAAAACCATCTGAGTTTCTAGGGAGATTAAGTTTAACTGAAAAATCATTAGAATTTATGTCCTGTTTTAGAAAAAAGTCAGTCCTGGACTACATAATTAAGCATCTTCTGGTGAAAAATACAGTCTACTAATCATCATGAGGATGATCAGAATTCAGAGGTAATGACTTGCTCTTAACCATCAGTAGCTCGACAAGGTGGGAGCTCTTTTTTCACAGGAGGAGGTACAAAACTAGAACAAGCGTTCAGGAAAAAAGTCAGGGGGAGTGAAAGTAATGCAGAAGAGGCTGTCAGACTTAAACAACCTCTGCTCTCTCCCTCCACCTTGTTAGAAGTTAAAAAGGATTTAAAGTGACAGACTTACAGAAGTCAGCACTCTCCTAAACTCCGAGTTGCAGTTTGACAGAAGGAGCTGTTGATACAGCAAATTCACTTTCTTTTGTACTGACGTTTATGAACTATCGCCCTCCTCTCCTGTGCACAACTGCAAAGCCACTAACACTTTGTTTCCCTTCACTGCTCTATCAGTACTTTCTTCTGCAACAGTTACAGGTGTTGGCTAATAAAAGGTAAGTAACATGACATGGAAGGTGTAAGTGGAATAAAAAAAAAAAAGGGTTTATTTAACCTTTACGTCACATTATGTACTGCCTATACATTCATATATTTGTTATTTCTCATCCACACCGGTTTCCTAAGTCTCACGACAATTACCTTCTTTGGCTTTCCTTTCAAAATCTCTCACTTCCAAAACACCTCCCTGTTCATAATCTGAAAAGGAAGAGGTGAGAAAAGATTGTCATAGACCTGAAAACAATTGAGTTCTATATCTAAGATGACTGTAGAGTGCCACTTGGTGATGCTGGGCTAGGAGTGAGATCTGTTAGTAACAGAAGACAGAGGTGCAAGTGTAACTGGAGCTCAGAGGACAGGTTTCATCCGCTGAACTCTGAACATCAAACTGCACTGACCGATATACGTTCATTCCCTGAATGCATTCTCTGTATTTCCTCTTTCTCAACACCATTCCTTTTCCCTGCTCCCCATGGCTCCATCCTCCAGGATTCCTCTGCCTACCTTCTGGTTGACATGCTCACACATAGTAGATTATCCCAAAGCAATTTACCAATTAGGTTGGTGTCAACTGCTCGATCATAGTAATAGGAGAAAGCATAGAAAGAACTTCCACGAATCTCATCTGGTTGGTGCAGTTTCCCTTTGACAACCTTGAGCACTTCCAAGTAGCAAGGCTTGAATCCTGTTTCTCCTGTCAGGAAAAACACAGATGGGATGAGTCAAAGAGGAATATCAAGATGGAAGAATCAGTGGCAATAGGATGAAAAAGGGAAGAAGCAGAGATTAAAGCACCACAAGAGGCCAGAAGAGCTTACATATCCCTTCTGTAATGCAGCATGTCAGGCAAGGACCCTAAATCACGATCATCAAGTGGAACTGGTTAGAGCAGATCATAGCAATATCTGAAAGGTACACTGCGCAAACTAGTGTAAGTGCATGAAAAGCTTCCTCCACATCAGGCCAAACTCCCATTGTTATGTTCTGTGGGCAGCAGAATCTCATTTACATTTGCTACCACCTGCTAGATAAAACCTTCTTTTCCCTCCCCATCACATTGTAAATTTATCAATCCACTCCACGCATAGCAAATCTGCAAGTCAGCTCTCGTGTTCCCCACTGTAAAGCAAAGCAACAACAGACACCAAAGGGGTCTGTTCTAGTCACTGATGGCAGCAGCTTCACCTTCTGTATGCAGCATTAGGGACAGAATCTTAAGAAGCAGTTCCATAAGCGAGATGTTCTTTGGCCTACCAGTTATTGTACCCTAACACGGCCAGAGTTTTTGCACTTGGCTCAAAGCCTCAGAAAAACCTCCCTTAATTGCACAAGCAACTCCTAACATTTACTATAAAGGTAGCATTTGTAATAAGAGATCACAGCCACAGTACGGAAAGTACAGGCCAGCTATTCCTACAGGTTCAGATTTTTCTTTGGCTCTGTCAAAAGTGCACATCTATGACCGGACAGGTATCCTTCATAACCCAAGGTAACTGATGCAGTTTCCATTTGCCAACGAAAAACTCAGATTCTGGAGACAAGACTGTCTTACAAGTAGCAAGAAGTCTCCTTAGTTTACCTTCTTTGTTGCCACCATACTGGTATTTCACTCCCCCAAAGTGCCACTCTGCCTCCAGCTGCTTCGGCAAACAAGAACTGCGGAACATTTGTCCATCCACAGCTGGAATGAAACCAGAGGGAAGAATCAGAAAGGATAAAATTTAACACAGTTATCGATCAATATGCAGAACCAGAAAAGAAAAGGCTGAACGATCTTTATTAAGGTCTTTAAGCAAAAGTAGGAAATCTGAATTGATGGATGCTGCACAAACGGATTATGAATTAAGGACCAGTCTCAGTCTGGAGAAGTTGTGTCCATTTTGTCCTGCAAGCTGCAAAGCAGCTAGGCTTGTAATTTGTGAATGAGAGATAAATGGTACAGGGATATCTAGATAATGGCGGTTCACCGAGGAAGACAAGAAATTAAAGAGGTAATAAATTAAACACACAGATACACAAACCCTAACAAACAGCAGATAACAGAGACAAACAAAGCAACTGACCAAGGAAGACAAAAACTCCTAAGACACTGATCAATGGCCACTACAGGATCCACTGAATGCACCCTTGAAGGGTTCAACCAGAAATACGGTAACTGATAAGAAGAAAACATGATTGTTGCGGCCAGCACAGGTCTCACAGAAAAAACAAACTTCTCACAGAATGGTTGAGGGGGACTGTGAGACTGCAGAATTTACTATGGGATATTTTAGGGGAAGGCTCAAAGGCAGGGAAAGGGGCAATCAAGGGATCAGGGAAGCGCAAGTGTGGGAAAATGGAGGGGACGATAAAAGAAGGCAATCACAAGTAAGGTGGCAGCTGGTCAGTATGCTTTTCTGGCTGAGCCTTGTGACCGATCACCGCAGTCTGTCCTATCTCCTTCTTAAACCCTATTCCCAACATTTTTGATTTGAGTACATTCCAGTAAACACAAGTCCATCTAGCTGGCAAGTAAGAATCCAGAAGGTGGAAAGACCCCTGGTCCTGGCCAGAGGCTGGACAAAAGGCCCAAGCTCTGGGCATGAAGACTGGGAGGACTTAAGGTCTGGGTCAGAGACTGGAAAGACTCAGGAATGTGAGTATGCATTCAGGTCAGTGAGCGAGTGTGTGATAGCTCATGGACTTCAAGCCAGACTAGTCAGTGAATACAACAAGAGGTCTAGGGGAACACAGTGGGTTTGGCCTAAGCACCAATCCTTATGAAAAGGATCTATTCATGCTGTTTGTGTTTCTGTGGATGCTTGTAAAGCTGTGCGTTTGTGGCTGGCTATGCCTACACAGTGCTTGTATGTTCCCATGTGTGCATTTCCAGAATTTGCACTCAATCTCACTGCTGGCTGAACCTTGAAATAGGGAAAAGCAGCTGTCTCACAAGACAACTCCTTAACAAGTGGTAGCCCGTTTCCAGACAGATCTATACCAGCGAAAACACAGAAAAGCACAAGATACAAAAGTGAAGACACAGGAAATGGGCTGCTGACAGAAGACCAAATCTAACCATCTCCTCTACAATCTTGGATGTTTTATCATATGAACATACCTTCCATATTCAAAGCTCCAAGCGTTGCTAGTCTGGCAGCTTTTAGTCCAAACCCCAAATAGCTGCAACAACAAAGACAGACAGACATTACAGTTTTAATTCTTGCACATCTGGTATGCTTCACCCATAGTCTCTTCCTAAATCCTGGAACACCCAAATCAAATTTCCTTCCTCTGCTTCCCACAAGTCTTCCCTCTCTAAACCAGAGAGTTCCCTTTGCCAGAACAATTCCAAGTACCAAAAGAGGGACACGAACCCAAGAATTACAGAGAGCTGTAAAATGGGTAAATCTAAAACAGCAGAAAGTGGTTACAGCTGATGTGACATTTCTACAAGACATTCATGAAAAGTATAAATGCACAATCTTAAAAACAAGGGAGAAAGAAGGGTATGTGAGGACTGCATGTGGAATAGCATGACCATTCTCATGTCACACACACAAGACTATGTGCTCCTAGGGCAGAACTAATAGCACTGCAGAACCTCTCACACTAAACGGGAGCTGTGCCTTTCCATGAAATGCACCTCTGTTTGACTCCACAGATTACAGCTATACTCATTACAAGCTAGGATGTGAACAACGTTTATAAGCATGTCATCACACGTTGCTGGCTTCAGCAGCACAGCTAGACTAAAAACCTGTTGGCCTTTCATTCCCACCTCTGTTTGGCTACTTGACCCTTTAGTCATGTCAATACAAATGTTTACAGAATAATCAGAGTTAAACTAACCTCCAGCTCCCTCATTTTTTAGGGAATGATTTTCAATCCCAATTATTTTAAGTGACCTAATGGACTGTACTGCTGAATACAGCAATCAGTTACAACAGTGAATGTAAGCACTAGGAGAGGAGGGCTATTAAACCAGCTTTGCTGTCAAGTAAGCCTATTCTGTAACTGACTGAGATGATAATCTTCCCCCACCTAGTCATGGGCTGACACCAACTCTCTATTATACATGGTTAAATTCTCATTGGACTGTAAGTCACGCAGGTAAACTCTCTGGATTTCCCTGCAGACAGCTCAGAAACTTGTCAGCTTAATGCAGTAAGCACAATTATATTGTTCCAGGCCAAGTATCTCTTCCAATTGGCTCAAGAATCTGTTGTGCTCCATGGTCTGTATCAGCTGCCTGTGGTTGTCTCTCTTTGGTTTACACCATTCTAGGTTTTACTTTTTGTCCAGGTGCTGATGAGATGTACCGTTTTGAACTAAGAACTAAGAAGGAAAAAGTCTCAGGAAGGTCCTCATTCCAAATCTCTGACCAGGTTCAGTTTTGACTACTAGCATGATACCCACCTTTCTGTTTGGTCCAGAATATTTGGCCTGAATCCAGTAATAAGAATTCTTCTCCTAAAATATAGTGCCTCATAATGCTTCCTCTTCATTTGACAAACTGACTAATATTCCCTTGCAGTGATATTAAGTATGATCCTGGAACATTTCCAGTCAACTAATGTCATGTTCCACTTCTACTAATGTTTCAAGCAGATAAGAAAACCAGTAAAAAAAGTCATGGTCCCAACAGCTGGTAACGGGATGACATGGTCATTTGTGGTTAGCTCAGGGCCTGCAGAAAGACTGATTTCCCCAGCGCAGACAGCAGCCTTTTTGCTCCTCACCTGTGGGTATAGAGCTTGTAGGTGCTATTAAACATATCAAATGAGGTAAGAAAATCACCAGGGGTTTCCTTCAAAGTTTCCTAAAAGTTAAGTAAAAGAAGAAATTTTTTAGTTTCTATTATGCAATAAAGAATAACCAATTTTGATGTAGTATCACAAATATACCCATAGGGTTTACTGCACGCTCATCTGATCTGCTTTGAAAACAAAGAACAAATTTCCAACGGTACCCACTGCTGTAATACCTGCAGCTTTTAACACTGAGTTTATTTATATGCATATTTGTGTTACTTCAATGTGTAACAGGGAAGTGCAACAGATCAGGATGAAAATACTTTCAGGATACCTGAATTTTTCAGAGTACTTACATGCCAGCCTACATATACAGAGTCCCCATTGAAATCTGCTGCACTAGAAGTGCTATGAACTCCTGCAAGTCAGGCTAGACACCTCAATTCAGGAACTCAGAAGAATTAAAAATGCACAGTAAAGTATAGGCCACATTTTCACCATGTTAAATGTCTTGCTGATACTCAAGGAAACACTGTGACCACTCACTCCCAGTCTTAGGGCTGCTTTACCTCCTGGTCTAAGTGCTTTCCTCTAAATTAACCCCTTGTCTCACAAGCTCCGGTTTTCCTCCTTTCACAGTCTTCCCCCTGTGTACACCTCTGCCCCGCTCATACTCAGTCCCCACCTTCTTGCCAGACTAACTCTCACATTCTTGTAAATCTGAATCAGTTTAGGGCTCATTTACTGTTCCTTTGTTTCCAGTTCCCGAGATGTCAAACCCAGTTTCTGTCTTTCCTTTGCTAGTGACCTCATTCTCCCATCCCTTCTTGGCCCTGTGCATCCGTATCAGACACTCTGGGCCAAGCAGCAGAATCAAGGACTGAAGCTGCAGAGTCCCTGTAGTTACCATGCAAGTAAGCAGATCCAGATCTGGGTTATTTTTGCTGTAATTGTAGAGTCCTAGACAGAAGCCTGCTCAAAGTTGAAAGAGATTTGGTAGTATCCAGCTTGAGTTTCTCCTGAACAAATATAAATTGAAATTTGTTTTGGGCCTCAGGTAGATTTTCATTGGAAAGGCAGTCACATTCTTGATCCAACACATCCAGGCTCTGCCGTATTTTGAGTTCTGTTCCTAAATTTGCATCACAAAAGCTTTTAAAAAGGAGAGATCCTGAAAAAAATTTTTTTGGAGAAAACAACCAGCTCTTTGCATGCCTTACTTTCACAAAAACGTAGAAATCCTCACAGCCCTCCTAAATGAGGCAGGCACCAGACAGACAATTTCATAATGATTACGATTGGTTTTCAGCTGCTTAGAACTTTGGCAATAATATCATGAAAAGCATAACACCGGCTTAACAACAGCTCCATGCAGTTATCACTGTATGTCCTCTATTTGCTTGCAATCTATATTTCATTAATGAATCTCTCACTATTACAGTATTTTGTTCAAAATGAATACATGAGCAAACACGTGACTGCCTTAGATTGCAGGAAGGGAGAAAAACCCTCTGCAAATCAAAGGGTGAAATCCCTGCTAATTCTGTCAGATGGGAAAAACTCTTTAGAAACATACTGACCCACGTATGTGCTTTTCTGTATGAACTGGACAATACAGGCGAGAAACAGACATAGCGTACAAGCAGGCAACATGAACCTTGACTCCAGACTGCCCTATGAATTCACACCATCGGTCCTGGTCAGCAGCAAACCCTTGGAGGCCCTTGCCTGCAAGGTTCTAAGGAGATGTTTGAATCCCAAGCTGCCGTTCAGCCTACTTCACAGCTCTACTTCTACAAAACCCTGACGTGCAACACCCTTTCCTGTTGGTCTAGTGCCCACTTCAGCAGGTGTTATCAACACAAAACAGAGGGCAAGCCCAGAGTACTTTAGGCTCTGCTGAACAGGATAAGGTTGCACATCATGTTTCAACATGACCCAGCATTGCAGTATTAAAATATCCTGATATGAAAACCATGTGTTTTGTGGTCACCAAACAGCCTTTGACAATCTCAATTTCTGTAAGCAAGAAATGTTAAAGGACTCCTTCAGAAAGAGTGACAAAACCAACCTCACAATATCAAGGTACAGAATGCTATAGTGTCCTTCCAATGCCCATAAAATTTTCCCATGCAAACTTTAGACTTGGGTCCCAGTTTAAACTGTTTCTAAAGAGCTATAGAATTTCTGACAGATCCAGCAGAGATGGACTGAGGGATAGAGAGGGGAATTCTCAAAGGACATGAGAGGAAATCGATAAGAAAATAGGATTGACTCTGCTATTATAAAAGACATTTGCCCCATGAGACACTCCCCCTCCACCCTGCTACCCCTCTCCAAAATTTAGTGAGGATTTGTTATCAGACTGGAATGGGGCGGGGGGAGACAACTCAGAGCAGATCCTAAATTTCTTGTAATATGCAAGAATACTCCCTGGAAATGTTCTACATTCATTGAATACAAAGTAACGTACGCATTAATGGGGCTTTCCCAGCCTGGGTCTAGAAAACAAAAGCTGTTTCTCTGTGGTTTTACCCATTTGCTTTCTTTCTTTTTATTTCCTCACTATCCAGGCTCCTTTGTTTGCAAGTGCCTATCAGCCAACTGCTGATGTCAAAGGGAACAGAAATACAGATGTTCTGTGCACCACAGATGTTCTGCTCGTGCCAGTGTTGACAAAGTGAGAGCAGAGAGCACAGCAGTGCTCAGGTCTCTCCACTGGCCTTGTAGTCCTAACCCATGCCCTTTTAACTATTCCTCACCTCAAAACGTGGCAGGAATGTGATTTGGGTTGAGGCTCCTCCCAAGTCCAGAGTCCCAACAGTATGCTGGTTCTGGCCAGACAGCTGCCCTGCAAACAACATCATGTTCAGAACAGCCCCAAGTGCATAAATGCTCAAATGTGGATATTGCATGTATGTTCAGGCAGCCACCAAGTTACCACAGTTTATCATAGCAATACAGGAGGGCTGAGCTGGCCTTTAAAGACAAAAAATATCACTGAGAAGAAGTAGGCAAACAGAATGTATTGCAAAAAGGTTCAGAGGACTTTCTTCCTTAATTCCAATTTCACCTCCAAACAGACAAAACCAGACAAATCTCTAGGTATCCAGCAAAAGCTGAAAGTAAGAGACAAAGTTATCTCCTGCAGAAGACTGTCAGGGAGAGTACATAAATTCTGTAACCACCATATAGCTGGTCAAGAGCAGGAGGAAAGGAAGGATAGTAAAAGCAGAACCAGCTACTATAATTTCTCTTCACCCAGAGCAGCTTTATTGCTTGCTCATGTACCTACTAGAGTACCGATTTTCTTGTCTCTTCACTACATTGCATTCCCAGAGCTTCTTAGAGCCAGCAGGGCTAAAGCACCAGTGCATTCCCTGTTAATACTGTTGTACTTTTACAGCTCACGCTGGGATGAAGAACATTGTAAAACCTTGTCTCCCACCTTCTAACAGATGAGCAGCACCACTCCCCTACGTACATTAGAGAAATGAGCTTGCCAGTGCCTCCTTGTCCTGAGTAAATCCTGGCACCTTCTGGATGAAGATGCCTCCTTCTTACTACACGTATAGCTCACCCTCTGGAACACGGTCTGCTCAAGACAAGCTTTAGCACTGGTGCCACAGTGAGGAGGAATAGCAGGACGTGGCAACCAAGGCAGAGGAACTTAGGGTGATCACCTCCGTGGAAGAGACTCAAGTTCATATTTAGAATTAACTACCTGTCAAAAAGTTCACAGTGATCCACGCTAAAATTCCTGCAAAAAGTGAAAAAGGGAAAAAAAAAGTCACCACTGAATACTCCCACAACCTCCTGCCCACTGTTACCACCTCTCCACATATTATTTATTTACCTAGAAATCATTATTAACTTAATGTAACCACCCCACAATTCAGAGACTAATTCAAACTTGTAATTGATATGATGCATTATTGATTTATTAAAATCTCATAAACTGGGATAGGCAGAAAGTTTGTAATATTCATGCAACTGCAGCATGCACAAATCATGTCTATTATCCAAACATTGTATGTTGTTTGGATAATAAAATACACAAGTTTTGTGTATTGTACTGATATAATACACAAGTTTCCTTGGGCACTTTTTCCCCCCCAGCATTTCAATACCTAATCTAAAAACTGCATAAACACCACTCTGTGTTTTAATCTTGTGGTTTCTGTAATTACACTACAGACATAGTGGTAACCAGTAAAACACAAACAACTCCTCTGACTCCAGCAGCTTGCTTGGCACTGGTACGATTCTCACCCAAACACGTGACAGTAGAAGAGGTAGGATTTTTAAATAAACCTTGGTAGGCTACACTGTGCTCTATTGTGCCTCATTGGTCCTGCTCCCTACCAATACAACACTTCTCCCTGCTATACAACTCATCCGTTAATCCTAGTGACAAACTATGCATTGCACTGTACTTCATTGAATACTTGCAGACTTTTGTTACTTCTCCTTTTCTCTTGCCCATAGGGACAGATTTTGCTCTTTAATCTTCCTCCATTTATTAGTTGTTTAAGCACCATGATAATTTGTTTTGCTTTCCTTAAACACCTTCCAAACTAGCAATATGTTTGCCATAATGAAGTGTTCAGAATTGAATGTAACATCACAGATGGCTCTTTTCAGGTATCCATACAGAAGGATTATCAGCTGCCCGTTCTCCAAGGTAATATGTCTGTTCTGCACTGCAATATCATCACTGACTCCAAACCTACAACATATTTCACTTTTTCTTGTATTTTATGTTACTTCCTTTGCTACTTTACTAGCTGCATTTTTCCTATCAGAATATTTTAAAATGTATTATTTTGTTATTTATTTCATTATCTAATTTTTTATTACTTGCCAATTATCCTTCATTCTCCTCTAACAGTCACAATGCTTCCAATTTTAACTCAAAAATTGATGAGCTAATCATAATAGGTTATTTTTAATGCTGATGTTGCAGAATTTACGAGGCACTTCCCATAAGCTTCCTAGTTTGCTATATATTGTCATGTACCCTTTCAAAGGTGGACACCATCTTTTTTCCACCAGTTTCCAAGAGCAATCTTGAGCTGGTTAGCCTGCAATAGCATGCACACTTATTTCCGAGATGAAGTTCTGTTCCGGAACCTCAGAAAGTTTCAGATGAACCTTCACCTAGCTAACTCATAAATCTCTTTGTGTATCTGCATTTGCAGACTAACAGACGATCAAGTAATCAACACCTCCTAGGAAAAGCAGGATTCTATTGTTTCAAACAGGGCTAGAAACCTTTTATTTTTTTCCCCTGAGTTCAGTGACTACTTCTCTTTCCCCCATTTCTCTTTGCTTTCACTTTTTCCTCCTTCTAAAACATACCTTCATAAGTTCCGTCCATGATGCTAACACTGTCTTCTGGAACAAGAAATGGTGATTCCTCAAAGACTTCTTTCACCTGAAGAAAGAAATAATTATTAGATTCCTTGATCTTAAAAGTCTTGTTCTGCTCTGAGGGTGACAGAGAAAGTTTTCTTTTTCACAGCAGTAGAAATTAAGACAAGTATGTGGAACAGACAATATTCTTCCTCTTTCAAGGGCCAGGAAAGAAAGAAACAAGTATTGTAGGTCTCTCTCCCCGTGCCTTCTATCCACATAAAGACAGAGGATTTCAGGAGCATACAAGAAAGTCCGTAAAGTCGGTGAGCTATCATGGGATTACAGTCACTTTTCACAGCTGAAATTCTTTTATGCTAAACAGAATGGAGAACTGAGACATGAGAGATGAAACAGGGAGAGCAATACTAGTGCATCCAAAAGATCTTAGTATTACCTCTAAAAGCAGAGCCTGAGCTTTCTCCTCTGACATCAAGCGCAGTCCAGCTGTGGCTTTTAACACTACTGGAGTCTTCTTCCAGAGATGAGGTGGCACAGCATCTATGGCCATGTCCAGCAATCTTTTGACAGTTTCAGCACCCTAAACGGAAAAAGATGTTTCTCTTATCGTTCCCTCCTACAGACTATCAGAAAATAGGCCTCCCAATTTCTCCTCAACACTAATGAAACCAGTATTCAGTAGCAGAAGATACCTCACCCACACCCAAGACAAGTATAAAAACTGTGCTAGACATCTTGTTAGAACCATAAAGGGAATGTCTGCATTGGAAGGACAGGTGTATTCAGAGATATATCTTACATGAGAGAAATGTCATTGTTTGTGGAAGGTATTTTTTGGAAAGAAGGGAGGGAGGTGAGGGAACTGATAACCTGAAAAACCTAAACATCTTGCAGTATGATGAAACTAAATGGTGTAGTTACTGACTGAGGCTACCAAGGTCAGGCAGAATGTCTGTAGGTTTCACTAAATGCAATTTAAGAATTCCAGGTGTATCCATAGCAAGTAGTGTAACCAAAATGCTAGTTGTAGAATGATTACCACACGAGGTACAGGCATCGCTGCTGGGCTCCCAATTATTTACACTGCTCCAACAGTTACAGTTTGGCATTAGCAATAAACATTCTCCTGTGAAACGTCTAGAAATTTCTTTTGGGGTGAATTCCTCTTGTCTCCTACCCAATAAACAAGATGAAATAATGGGAAATCATGGGAGATCTCATCACAGTTTAAAAAAATCCAAAAGCCATTCGCTCTTCCATAAAGTTTCACATGCAAATTCCTGTAGCAGTGAATGCAACTGAGCAAAATGAGAAACGTGAAACTCCCCCTATGCCAGCCCTCAACTTAAAGACTGCTAAAGCACACAAGGTAGAGTATCTAATCTATCATTTCTCTGGCACCTCCCTTAACTTGTGAAAGAGCTTACTGTCAGTGCAGGGGATCTGGAAAATGGCAACTTACTTCAGGATTGGCCCTGTGTATCACAACAACAGGATTATTTTAGTGCGCTCTGTTCTGTTGCTCATTTCTGACTCCTAATCCAATAGAGCGGCATGGAATGAGCGTACTGTGCATGAATTCACAACCACCTCCCTTTGAAAATAAAATGGATGGCACCCAACTTCAATTTCTTATTAAAATTATAAACTCATATGTTAATTAATACATCTCATTGTGGAAGACAGAACTGTCCAACTATGTTTTAAAAAACTGTATATAAACAAAACAACAAAATTCCTGAAGCAACAGAAGAGTAACTGCCTGTACCTAAATCATCACTCAGCTAAAACTGTAATCAAATATTTAAACTGAGCATGACTGAAGTGAGTCCTACATATCACTGAGCACCAGCTTCCAAGCCATGGTTCCAAAGATAACAGCAAAGAATCGAAACAAACAAATTATTGGAAGTCTGATGATAGAAGCAGAGAATACACTTAGAGAAATATTAAGGCCTGACTTAACAGGCTAAATGCATCTTTAGTCTTCCCCTTCTCCATTAACTTAGTAACAAAAATTAACTTTTGTAGATCTGACTACACACACAAAAAAGTAAACATTTTTAGGAGTCAGAGAAATTAATCCTCGTTGCTTGTCAGTGTAACATGACTGAAAAAGAAAACCCTTGCAGTCTTAATCCCTTACTTCTAAATTAAACAAATCAAAACAAAATATGCCCATTTTGAACTGTGACCAGCACTGAAAATTTCAACCAAAAGGAAAAACTGAGAAAATTATTAGTAAATGAGAGAGGAGTATATATTTACTGATAATTGGGGCAGCTATAGGGGAAATAAGCATTGAACATGGATGCTGCTAGAGCCAAATATCACTTTGTCTTTGAAATTCTCAAGGGCATATAGTCTAGTCATATATAGCATTTAAGCAATTAATTAAGCCATTGTTCCATTGATGGAATATGTAAAACAACAGCTCCCATTAACTCACAAAAGTAGAGCAACAGGTTTAGAGAGCCAGCAGTAGAACCTTTACATTTTTTCTTGGCTCTGTGCAATTACAATTAGTAATAGTTGAACTGCTTGGTAGAGTCCAACTGATATTAGCAGAAGCAAGACCAACTCACAGGGAATGAAGGAGAGCCTTACCTTTTCAGGCTGATCAGCATATGCAGAAAGACCGGGCTTCACAGACTCAAAGATTTCCCCTTCCAACTCTGGAAGGTTTTCTGCACAAACAAAACATGACATGAAACAGTCAACAACTCAAATCTTTTTCTTTGGTTTCAAAAAGGTTGCCTGCAACCCCTGTAAAGTGACTGTTCTTGATTTCCCTTGCAAACAATACTGTTCCCCTCCTAAAACAAGCACTGACTTCAGGAACACATTTAACAGAATGTTGCCCTTGTATCCTCCAAGTTCACAAAAAATTTATTAAGGACATGTTGTTATAATTAGAAGTATGTTCATTTTGCATTTGTGAACTTCAATGACTTATAGCTATGTAGTATGACTGTTGCCTAATCTTAGTAGAACTTTTTTCCCTTTCTGTCCCCAAGCTAATTGTGAAATACTAATTCATATTAAGAGACACCCAGTCAGCTCCTGATTATCCTTAGGTGATTCATCCAACTCAAACACAGAATAGAGCTGACTGGGCTCAAGCACTTGGCTGCAAAGCCAAGTAAGTGTGACCGTTGCTCCCAGAGCAGCTTGGGACTAGAAGCTGTCTCTGAGTATTGCAAGTCAGGCTGAGTCCATCAGAGCTGGATGTTGTACCAGTCCGTCCAAACTAAGGCTGAAATCATGTGAAGTCACACAGGTAGTATGCCTGGCCCTGAAGGGCTTATTAACTGAGCTCCATCAAGCAGCCTTCAAACTTTGCAAATTTGCTGGCTCACTGTACCCAAGGTAATTCACCTTCTTGAAATTTGTTGCGTGTGCAGCCAACTCAGGTGCCTCTGCACCATGTCAGAAGCAGATATACTGGAGTGTGGTGCATCTGTGCACAGGAGTTCTCCTGGAAATGGCTTGGACCTTTGGTGCTTATAACTCTTTAATTTACTGATTTTAACTTGTTACAAAATGTGACATATAAACATATGCAGAATTAAAGTATCTCTTGATTCAAGGTAACATGCAACCTGATAAAAACAGTGTAAGCCTCTTTCCAACTCCATGAGACATTCCTTTAAACAGCGGCATAGATGAAAGCCTTTGGAAATTCAGAACTCTCCAGTATATCCAGAATTAAACCCCTCAGTTTCAAAATATCTACAAAAAAAGATATTTTCACAGCAAAATACCACCACATATGGACAATCATCATCTGTCAGAGGATCATTTGAAGGACAAACTGTAGAAATCTTCAGTTGTTCCCAAACACTGTGTTGGGGAAAAAAAAAACCCTTTGGGGAAGCTGGAACCTAAGTCAACTTATTCCAAGTGCATCAAACAACATGAGGTCTTACCTGGGTTCTTCTGCACAAAGGTGTAAATGTGAATCCGGGTTCCAGTGCTCCCTGCATCAAACATTATGCCATAAAAAGTGTTGGCTTTGGCATTTATAGGGCACACATTAGGTGGAAAGAAATCCTGAAACCACATCTCCCTGTTTGAATGGGAAAGAACAAAGGACAAAGAGGAAAATGCAAATACTAGAAGGATGGGAAGTCTGGAAGATGCCATTTTGCCAGGATCCCTTGAGGCAGTCAAGCATGGATCAGCAATCACAGAGCTGCAGTAGGTCCTGTAGAGAAAAAAAGCACGAATGGAAATTACTGATGGCCCTCTCCTTTACAAGTCGGGGGGGCAGGGGGGAGTGGGATAAAAAAGAAGAAAAAAAAAAATCAGTCTGTACACATATATTCTGCCCTTTAGATACTTTTCAACACATTATCCAGAAGACGTGATTTACTGCACTCAGTGCCACAACTACATCTAAATGATTTTTTCTTTCAGAGTAAAGCTTTCTCCATTTCCCAGATGCAGAAGAGTTGAAGTCGTTTGCTTCCCAGTATTTCTAGTTTTGACTTTATTTGGACAATTTTTTTCTGATTCAGCTTAAAGGTTCTCAAGATTTAGAGTCCTCAGAACCTCTAAAAAGTCCAAATGTTATCTGAAAAGAAGCACCGCTAAAGGGCAGCTCAGGGCAGAACCACTTTGCCCTAACATTTACACACTTCGGATGCTGTGGCAGAACACAAGTGTTATTCAGAGTCACAAACAAAGAGAATTTCATCCCAGGCTAAGAACAGCTGCTGAGAGAGATTAGCGCACAGAGAGGGCAAAGGCATATCCTTCCAGCAGCATCCTTGTCCCCAAGAAAAGCCTGTGCTACACAAGAGGGACTGAACTGTAAGGTGCACCTGGGCTCTGCCTCTTAGTATTTTTCATACTTTTTCTTTCTGTTTTAATTTTGGGTTTTCTCCATTTCTCATTTTCTCCTGACACAGTTTTCATTTTGAGAATTACAGAAAAACCCAGCATAACCCCACTACACTCTCACCCCTAGACCAGTTGCCCTGACCACTCAGGTTGCTTACACAGCTTCTAACAACAGCTTCAATGGGCCAAGGCCCCAAAGTTAAGTGACACAGCACTGGATATCAAGATACAACTACGCCTCTTCTCTGTTAACACATATCTTTTTGAATATATTTTTCCTATGAAATACTAATAAAGGAAAGCTATGGGCATAAAAATTACATGGTTCATTAGGTGCCCAGGTAAAAAGGAGGAGAATATATAGCTATCTTTGTTATTTTCATTTTAACAGCAGAAAAGAGTATGTGGCCAGATGCTCCACCATATGCAGTATTGCCTGCATTGCCATACACACAGAGCACTCAGCGTACAGAAGGCGCAAACAGCTCCTTATCATTCTCCAGACACTTGGTAACACATCCAACTGCCCACAGCACTGAATATTCTACTTCATATGCCTGTTCATCTGCTCTGCCCAAGACCCTCACCCACCTCTAGGCCTTACATTTGATTGTCTTCTAGCAATGTGCTCCGCCCCACTATGTTCATTCTGTCGAAATCTTTATTTGCTATCTCTATCCCACATTTCTTAATTCTTAATCCTAACCTCTCTCCTTTCCTTTCTACGCGAATCTGACATATAGCCTCTATTTCCACATACCTTTCTCCCACACCCAAAGAACTCACTTATCCTCCACTACCTTTTATCCCAGATTTAGCCCTTGTATGAATTTTATTATTTCCATCCTTCACCTTTGTCCCCAGTTACCGCAAAGTGAGATTAGCTTTTACCCATTCTCAGTAAACAACGTCACGTTGGGTCATTCCTTGAGTGTGTCTCTAACTCACTCAAGCGTTCAGCTATCTCTAGGGCGAACAAAATGCACAGCCTGCTGCAGAAGAGTAACCTTGCCTGTCTTCTGTGACCTTTATTTATATCCTCCTGTTCTTAGTAAATGCAGAAAGCTGCGAACAGAAGCACAAGCTCTTGATCCGCTCACCTCAGAAGCACACTCTGAGAAGAGGAAGGTGACTTTATGATTCCACAAACAGGCAACAGCCCTGGCCACCCTCTGTGACAGATCAACTCCAGTCATAGTAGTTTCTAAAGCATTCACATCTTATGTGGAAACGAGTAAAAACTTAGTTCTAACCTGTAACAACTTAAAAGTCCTACCCTGAACAAAGTTCATGAAAAGCGCTAAGCCACCAGGCAGCTTCATAGCTATGGATTTGTACTAAGGTGCTGCTGGTGTTACCCACGTTTGCTCCATCACAGCAAGGAGGTCGACTGAAAATCTAAGACGCTGTGCTGTTCTAACAGAACATAAGCTGCATTAATGAGTACTACCTTCCAGCTGCTCAGAAGAGGTGTTGTTATTCTCATGCAATGTAAGGATTTTGCTTAGCTTACTGAACCATCACAAATACAACCCCAGCACCTGCCTTAAGAACAAACTCCAGAGTCCTATTACAAACGGCATACGTCACGCTTATGCAAGCCTCAGAATAATCCCCAATGATCTGAAAATATCTGAGGGACTGCCATCATTAACACATACTTTTCTTGCCACATCTACTAGTGGATGAGCCTTAGCCTCCCATGAAACACTCCTCTATCCCTTCTCAGACATCGACCACCATTTCAAACTTTCAATTTTTCACTTCTCCCCTGACTTTTCTCCTTTCCACCTTTATACTCATAAGTATAAAAAAATCCCAACAAACAACCTTGGCATTTTATTTTCCTGCACCCTCATTAAGAGCCAAAAAACCACACTGAGCCTCTTCGATGAGTGATGAAGCCCATTTAATCAAGTGCACTAGCAAAACAGTGTCCACAAAGAGCATCAAAACAGATGAGGAGAGTGAGAAATCAGAGACAAGAGAGGGAAATTGGCAGACCATAACAGAAATGACAATGGAAAAGGAATTTGGAAAGAGAGGGTCAGAAGAAAGAACGGAAGAAAAAATTCAGGGTAGAGATAGACAAGATCTCCTGAGAAGGAGAACTATTTCCAAAAGAGTTTCTCTCAAACAACTTAAAATCCTAGCTGCTATCAGAACACAACAGGATGGATAAAATGAACAACAAACGGAAAGGAAAAAACAGGGTAACAGTAATATGAGCACAAGTTCATTAATACAAGCAAGTGGTAAAATGCACAGATCACCATCAGTAGGCTCCAGCTACTGCCTTCATAAATGAGCAGTAACAATCAACATCAATCGTGACTACATGAGGCACACACCTGAAGCAGGACGGAAGCAACAGCTATTCCACTCCAGAGATTCCTAAAGAAAACGACTTCGGAGCGCTGTGACAAGAGACGCTGCACCTGCACTTCTCTTCTTCACCTTCCCTTTCAGCTAGTAGGAGTGGACCATGTATCATGCAAATTATAAAGTCATGGAGGCACATAAAATATCAGTCGAGTTGCTTTATTCAAACTTGAGTTTATCATCACTCAATACAAGCAGTGAAACATGCTCAGATAAGTACACAGGACAAATTTCAAGAAGTTGAAAGTTAACTGAGTTCAACAAGTTAGTAAAACATTTACACAAACATTATAGTTGACCTCAACAGCACGGACCTGAGTTCAGTGACACAGGGCAGAACATTCATTTCCCAACACAGAGAAACACATGTAAATACCATCTGTATAAGGTAGATTTTAGACGCTAAACCAAAAACCTGAAGCATATCCAATACAAAGATTTGGGAGCTACACAGACTGTATGATCCATAAATACTGGGATGCTGCATAGACTGCCAAGACTGAAAGCATGAACAGGAAGGAAAAAAAAGAACACCCCCCCACCTCTTCTTAAACAACAAAAGTAAAAACAACACCAGAATAATACAAAGAAACTTTAAGAGATCAAAACACAACCTTAGACTTCACCATACACAGAAACACTGGTGATTTTCAAGACAAGAAAGTCTCACTCACATTATTGAATATTTCTGACAAGAGAACATGGAAAACCCAAACCACAGCAACAGGAGCATTTCCCTGTAAAAAGGAATCTGTCTGATCTGAAGGGAAAGAAAAGCAGTGGATCTGAGATACATGAGAATTTCCTTCCTGATTACTAAAATATTATTAGGAAATATTTGGATATAAAGAAGAAATTATAAAATAATTAGAAATATTTATGATTTATAACTATTTAGGCAAATATTTTAGAAAACAAAATAGATGAATTATGTAATTCAATTCTTATTGTTATTTGCTGCTCAAGCACACCAGAAATCATTCAGAATGGAAAATCTATTTTCTGCACTAAAACAGCAAGAAAATCTATTTTCCAGATGAGCGGCTCTTGCGGTAACAAGATCTATTTCCCAGATGAGCAGCTTTTACATCTAACACTCATGACTAGACAAGTACATTTTCACCTTTTTTTTTCCAGAAACAAAAAGTTATTACATTTTTTCTGGACTTACTTTTTATCTAGTAAAAAAAAAAAAAAGTCTTTTTTGGATCGTTTTGACAAAAATTCAAGCTTCTTAAAAGTACACAGTTTAAAAGTCACAATAGAAAGAATAACTGAATTCATCGGCAGAATTTCCCAGCATTTCCATGAAGACAATGGTGCAATACTCTTTGCACACATACGCTTTGGGTAAAGTTCTGGATCTAGAGCTTTAAACGCAAGGGAAAAAAAAAAAAATAGAGCCAACTCACAAACATGCGCTATCAGTAGTTTTAATCTTTTCCCGATACTGAGGCTCCAAACACACATTATTTATTTATTCTCACTTCTGGCCAAGCGGGTTTTCTCTTTTCGTATGTGATGAGACGAAGGCAGCTTCCCACGAGGGTGCTGCGCTCCCCCCTGCCCTGCGTCAGCCGGTGCCCCTCTACAGCTTCGTGACGGTGTGCCTACCGGGGCCGTACGTAACACCTTGTGGGGGTCCAACCGGTGTTCTTAGGGAACAGCTTTGGGGCACTGAGAGATTTTGGGTGCAGAGGGCTTTTGCTTCCATCTAAGCCCGGGGAGAACTCCAGCGCACATCCAGCACGACGCTGCTAGTGGCGCGCCTGGAAAGCACCCCCCGCAGCTCCACCGAGAACCGCTCGGGCAGGGGCACCCCAAGGCCCCTCTTCCAAACCCGGCCACCCGTCGGGCTGCGGGCTGGGCACCCTTCACACACCTCCGCAGTCTTCCTCCCTCCACGTCACACAGCCGCACTCTAAACCCCTACACCGAAGGTAAGTTCCCCTACCTTCA